CCGAAGGAAGACTCCAAAGTGGACTAAGCTTTGATCGAACGATTAGTGCACTAGTAGCTATTGAACTGGACATTGGAGGAATGACAACCAATGACACCTAGTCAGAAGCACCGCTTCGTCCGACAGCCAGAAGCTTACATCGAACTAAACGTTCCAGCTAACCAATACATTAGACATTGTGGCTATCCGGTGTGCATGTCATTAGGGTGGATAACATCTCCTCTTCCCCCTCCCCTTTCGATGCCCAGCTGCCATACCACCCGACGGGAGCACGAGGGCTCAAAAACTGTAAGGTTGCCCAAGCATTGACAGGAGCAATCGAGATGCCGAGGTTGGGTTCAAACCGCGAACCTTCCGGTTAGTAAATTCGCGCCCGGATAACACCTTGGTTAATCGACCGCTTCACCTCAGAAGCGCAGAATCTTAACCTGTTAGTCCTTGCTTCTCCGGCGTTTATCTAAAGCAGTTATCGTACTCCAATACAGTTATCGCAGGTGAGTTGAACATCTACGAGCCACCTGAACGCGATAGGGTCGGCGGACAAAAGATGCATCCGTTTCTACATACGACGGTAAGGACTGTTGTTGTGAGCTCAACACAGCTCGGTGGTTTGAGCAGGAAATCGCTGACCAGAAAGCCCGTCCGTGGCGTATTGACTGCTTCTGTGTGTGTTTGGGCAACCTGGCCGTATCTCAGTCATCGTTCTTCTTTCAGGTGGTATGACAACTGGGCACCAAGTGTTAAAGCCGAACGATTGCAGTTGTGCATCAACCTAATATCCACAAAGGCTTAACAACCGCTGGTATACCTCAGATTTTCCGTCATGTGCGAGTAAAGTCAAATGATGTTCGTAACTTTAATCATACTCCCACATAGGAAAAAAACTGTCACAAAGATATTTGACAAAGTGGACATAATTTGATGGCAGTCACCAAATAGCAAGGGGTCACATTCACTAATCTGACACCAAATTTCACGGCACAATTTTTGTGCACAGAGGCGGAGAGTATCAAGTAACGCGCACCATGAAATTTCAAGTAGTTATCGGTCGTGATCCAATATTAGTGTGGATGCGATAGCGATAATTCGGAGTTCCCAAGAGATGAAAAACTGAAAGTTAGTACGGTCCAAGAATAGGTTACCAGTATACTGGTAAATTGAGACAAATTCTTCATCCCAGTTTTCAAAAAAGATGCAAGAACTTTCATGCGAAAATCATCGTGGCATCAGCCTGGTATGCATCGCATCTAAGGTGCTCTCTGGCATTATTTTGCGCAGGATGATGGATTATCTGGTGAGACAGATTTGTGAGAATCAAGCTGGGTTTCGTCCTAGTCAAGGATTTCTCGATAATGCATTCGCCTTGAGACAACTTTTCGAATAGCGCCACTCCTTCAGACGTCCCATGTTGGTCGCTTTTTGAGAATTGCTTTAATTCTGTCGATCTGTACCGCAGTGAAGCATCAGTGTTGAACACTGATGTCATGCTGTCGATGATAATGATGGCTGTCGACCGTCAGCAAATTTGGCAGTGTCTGGCGATCAAAGGTGTCCCTTCCAAATTTGCATCCCTTATGAGGGCACTGCATGCAAACTCTTGTGGACTCGTAAGATTATACCGGAAGCTTTCCCCTGAGTTCACCACATCCAAAGGTGTAAAACAAGGCTACTTTCTATCACCTTTCCTCTTCAACTTTGAACCTACAATATGCTGGTTGAAATTTCTTTGGCTGCCTCTGAAACCTCGGGAGTCGAAATGCTCCCGGAACGTTTCCTCACAGACATTGAGTATGCAGACGATATTGCTATTCTTCGTTCAGATATTTCCTAAATACGAACGATCTTAACCTAAATAACTCTGTTGCACTGTGCGTAATGCGTCTCACACTTGCAGTGTTAAGCGCTGCAACAAGACTGGGCTGGATCAAACCCTCATCTCATGCTTGCTGGCAAGCCAATCGACGTGGTAGATAAATGTTTACTTGGGCAGCTATATAAGCTCCGGTGGACTGACTGGAGATGAGACTTCTCGAATCGGAAAGGCTAGGGGCAGCTTTCGTCGACTTCTGACACCTATGGTACCGACGTAACGTTTGTCTGTCAAGGAACAGTTAACACTGCGGTGGTGCAAACCATACTACTTTATGGGTCAGAAACGTGGCCCCTACGCGTAGAGGACATACACCATCATCAAAGACAGCAACATCAGTGTTGACACTAATGCTCTACTACTGCACAAGCATAAGCTTCGTCTATTATATTTAAAGCCCCGGAGTGAAGAGAAAGAAGGGGTGAAATAGGGGTCTAGAGCTGGCCTCTGTCAAGCATTTTGAGCTGCACACACCTCCTAGCGCTCCATCAGACAATCTAGAAAAAGACTGACAGCACGAACGCCACTGACATCGACTAACCGCCATTTCTTACGCAGTCTCCAGCCAAGCACAGGTGAGGTCACGAAGACCCCGTCCTGGAAGCAGTACAACACCAATGGAAACATACGGAAGATGTCAGGGTTTGACCATCGGTATCTCCGAGCCATTGGTTAGGTCTAGTGGGAACATCGGATTAGCAATGCTGAGGTACGGTGGATGGTCTTAGAAAGGAGAGACTCTCCCGCGATAGATGAATTACTCACGCTCTATAGATTGCGATGGTTAGGACATGTACTCCGCATGGCAGAAGACCGTCTGCGGAGCTCTTCTTGTCCAATGTTGGGCTGAATGGAAGCGACCGAGAGGTGGACAGTGCATGACCTGGGAGCGAAGTAAGAAAACACTAAACAGTAAACCTATTCGCGTCGGCAATTGTCACTTCACTGGATGGGGAACCCGGGACTCAACTTAACGGCTAAAAAACATTGGCAGAAATGGCCCAATCGCTCATTCAATGGCGCTCGTACATCAAAGCCATCGCCTCCAAGGCTCGGCTGCATGTCCGTTTCCTGGTGAGCGAAATAGTAGCAGCTGGAACCGATGTGCCTGTGGCACATGGTTTATAGCAGACAAATTGAATTAGTAATTGGTTATCATAACAAAACGTTTATACGAAAATGACGTACTTCAACATGCATAAAACCGCCATGGATGTTCAACACACGACCTGGCCACCAGGCGCCTGCGGGGGAATCAACCAAAGATGAAGGTGATTCTTCCAGCTTCTGTGCTGCACATTCTGAACTATCTGGGATACTTGGCTTTTTCCTTGATGTGGCCTCAGTAGTTAGCCAAATTTCACCCGGTTCCCGAGGATTCAAGCGCTGTTCATCCTTGTCGGTCCATGTTTTGAGCGGAGATCCCAGTTCACACACCTCTGTGTGAGAATACACGTTCTCATGAAAAGGCTCAAAAGCGCTCGGAGCTAGCTGTAACTCCGATAGTGGAACTTTCAACGGAGTGTGTCTGGTCAGAAAAAGTGGGAAAAAACGGGAACCTCGCGAGGTCAGAAGAAGCTAGGTGGTTTAACAAATCAGCGCCTAGAAGTGCGCAAAGCTCAAACAGAGGAACTACGGAGGGTGCGAGTGACCACGGTTCAAACTTTGCATACGTTTGTGACCTAGTGCCGCATCTTCTCAAAGCGGATATAGCGTCGGATACTCATCCTTGCTTTTTGCTGCGAAATTGAAGAGGTTGAGTTTTTTCGGAACATTTGAAATGTTGCGTGAGACTGGTCAATATCACACCAGGTATCCAGACCATGATAAAATACGATTTGTAACCTAGCCCGACAGTTCCTCCAGAGTACGTCACGGAACGAACGTTACTACGGGGTCGTCATGATGCCTAAATGGTTCGAATTATATAACGGTGTCGCCGCCTACCCAAACAGATCTATTCGGGTAGCCTTGTGTTGAGTGAGAGCGCCCGAGAGGCGGACAACCCCTGACCGACCAGTAAAACCATTCGGGTTGACGGCTGCAATTTCCCAGGATTTAAATCAACACTGGTTAATGGCACTGGCATACGTGGCTCAATCACGCAGTCAGTAAAATTAAATGAATTGTTTAGCTGCACCACCCGTTCTGTGTCCAGCTGCCATGCCACCCAAAGGAAGCACGAGAGCTGGGATACTGCCAGTTTACCCAAGCCTAGACAGAAGACGAGATGCGGAGTTCGGGTTCAAAACTACTGAGCCATCTCGCCATCACGCAGTCAGGCGCACCAGTAGTAAGCCTATCACCTTCAGTGCGTAGCTGCCCAGTTCCCCGTTTCTCGATATTCATACCAATTCAATACGAAGAAACCGATGGTGCCAGCGTCTCCAATATTGGGTTGTCTCTCCTGCTCTCCCACTTTCCGACAACCAAAACCGTAGCAGCTGGAACCAACCTACGTTGGTATGACTTGTAGCTGATAAAATGGACTGAAATGAGTGACTTCCAAATTCCAACTTGTGTCGTTGACGAAGACAGATAATACGCATGTCGTACACCCTTTCCTGTTTTGTGCTGCTCCGATTAGGTCGTTCGCACGTTGCTGTTTCTCCATCGATGGCCAACTGATGAACAGTATTCTGGAGGTAGTAGCTAGCAACATGGGGTGATACACTACATACCACTGGAATGCTGCGATCGTGAAATATACCTACATCCACAATGGTTCGTGGTTCGAACCCAACATCTGCCTCACGACTTCCCCTGTATAGGCTTGGGTAACCTGGAATTAACCCTGCCTTTGTGCTTCCTTCTTCCTGCACAATTACAGATAGCCCGAACGATGCCCTTAAGGATACGACCTATATTTGTATATAACTCAATCCATCCGTAAAAAACAACTGCGTGCACTGTGGGCAGGCGTATTTTGTTCGCTTTCTCAACTTGGACAAAGCAATGCAGTTTATCACCTATAGTCCACCAAAATCCGGATCTCCACCCATCGGATCGAGTTAGGTGAGAAACTTCCAGAACTCGATTTCAAGTGGAGATTAAAGGAGTCACGCTCAGGGCTTTCGAATCCGTCTCCCGAGGTTGCTTGCTGATCCAAATGAAGCCGAATATCGTCGCGATCAGCGGCTTTCACCTATGCCACTAGGACTAGGATGTCCACAAATCCCTCAAACGCCGAATAATGAAGAGATTAAGGGTTGACTAATGGCGCTTTTGGATAGCGAAAGCCCGAGAAATGGAGAACTTTTGAAACGGGGAATGACCGCATTTCACTACATATAATTTGACCAACTGGTCAGAGGGCATATGTTGTTGAAAAAGTCTTCGGAAATGATGGGACCCCGATTCACCAACAGAGACGTCGTCTTGAACGATGGCCTGAACAGTTCAGCTGGGCCTCATCAAGAAAACAACTAGGAGGACCACACGAATCCACGTGGAACGGCGACAACAATCCACCATTGACAACAAAAAATCTGATAAGCAATTTCAGTTCAAAAAAGCCCTTGACGAGGCTTGCCGCTGTCCATGACGGTGCCTGACCAAAAGGCAAACATGGGGCAGTAGCATCCTAGTAGAATGGAGATACGTCGAGTTAACCACCAAGGGAAACGATTAGAAACAAGGTGCCAGCACTTCGGAACAGCATCTAAATAAGTATACCTGAACACTACATTGATCCGAGTACCCTCCGAAGCGAAGTGCTTGCTGGTTTGGTCACAATCCGCTGGACCTGCCTGAAAGCAGCTGATTTCCTTGTAGTGCTGAGCTGCCTGATATGGCATACTCGAAGTGGTCGCATATGTGCTGGGGATAGGACCGTAGCCATCGCAGCAGAATGTTTTTGGAGGCCGTGGCAAAGAGCCCTTTAAGTTGAGTCGTGTAGTCCTCGGTCTTGAGATCTACTCTAGTGATCACGTCCAGGTTACGAGCGAATAGACCGCCATTCACACAACCTGCACCGGCATTAGCCATTAGTGGTTAATGAAATGGTGGATGATTCCATCAAACAATCAGTGGCGCTCCTGCTTCAATGCGTACCTGCTAACACTGGAACTACTTATGGCATCGCTTCGAATGCTTGACATCTCCCCACTAATCTAAGTTACCGATTACCGAAACTGCATCAGCTGGAACCAATGTACATTCCGCACATAGTTTATAGCTAGCTAACCGAAATGAACGGTTGATCGACTGTAAAACGATTACTTGATAATGATTGTAAACTCTAATTGGAGAACCCAAGCGCTCGCCCTCATGAAGTTAACTGGTGGAGCGACTCGTTGAGGAAGGGTTGTCGACATTAATTACCCTGATAGGGATGCGCAACAACTCTGCGGTCAAGAGCACAGGTTCCATGGTCAACAGATGGCTACCGCTGACAACGCTCTGAAGGGCAATTCTGCCCTCAGCACGGATCTTCCATGGTTTTGGCTCTTCTGGGGGAGGAAGGCTAGGAGTATAGACGGTCTGCATGCCCCATTTGACAGTCAGCCACCCAACCGAGAAGCACCCCCACACCTCATGTCGCTAGAACAGGGTTTTTTGCTGGCTCGAAGGCCCTAACCAGTCCAAAGGAACCCGTTGATAGCGCGCCCCACTGGGGTAGTGAACAGAAAGGCGAGAAAGGTGAACAGGAGCAGTTCATGGTGGCATTGTCTTCCAAACAAACCACCCTCAGTTTTGGTTTCCGATGCCGAGTCACGACTTAGACCTGCGTCTTGCCACCTGACGTGGAGGCTAAAATAAGCGCATCCAACCTGATAGAACGCATGGCCTTCCAACCTAACTCATGATGGATTTCCTCCAGTCGGGTTAGATAGACCATTTACACGTAGTTACTCTGAACACGCTTAAGGCTCTCGGACTTGGGTGGTACTGTCACACATTAAACCAAGAGTGGAGCATCAGCGGCGATCTAACCCGTGAAATTAGTGAGTCTAGTAAACTCTCGCGGCTTGACATCATGCGGGCTGACTCCATGTCACGGGCTCACTTAGATGTGTAAACCCACGGGAAACTCAAGCCCATTTCACCGAAGCTGCAGACGGACATACGCGGCCAGTCTATGCCTCCATGGCTCTAGATAACACGATAGGAGTGAAACGGGTCTGCAGCTCGGATGACCAAATCTACGTGGCGGACCGTCGACATTGTGATGAGGTACATTAACACAGCACAGCACGCCCCAGGCTTATTTGAAGAATATTTTGGTATAAAAGTGACAGAACAAATAAAACACCAAACAATCAGCTGACCTACCGTGGGGCATACTTGATCAAGCCCATCGACTTCTCGATTTTTATCAGAACAGCCTACAGGTATAAAATGAAAAGGCAAACGAAAAATTACCGGAATGCGTTGACGCTCACTTCCAATATGTTCTACCGGAATACTCATCTTAAACTGACCAGAAAATCGAACGTTGGGCAAAGGGAAGGGTCAATGCGACCGGGTAACGGGGCCCGCGATGTACGGGTAAATGGAAATATAAACAACGCTAATCAAGGACAGTTCAGAGTCACGGTCTACATGAGCTTTGAATAAGTTGAAGTGTGCATGAACCAGGAGCCAGAGAAAGTTCGGGGCCGTTCGCACTTGTGAAGAGAGTGAATTAAATGCATGAGGTAATCGTTTCGGGGTGCTTGAACTTCTTTCTCTAGAGTACCGTCTACTCCGAGAACTATGGCCTACTTATACCTTGTTCGAACAAAGCTTACCCAGCGGGTTTTCACCAGTAACCCGAATAATACACAACGAGCTTGGAGCGCACATTTTTCGGCAACATTTTTCCGCATTTCGGACGGCTTGTGCATGGAATAACCTTTATCGAACGGTTTCTCACGCTGCGTCTAGAGCCCAGCTAATAGATCTCGAGGATGTTTTTTATTTGACCCTCATTGTCATGCCCATTTTACGCTGGTGACTTTCAAGTGAACGGAAGTCGCTAAACGATAAGAAGTTTGGGTGAAGGCATCGATCCTGTGTCTCAACCCGTGGATCTGTGGATAGCGGTGGTGATGACGGAATCTGTTATCTCCAGTAATATGCAGTACAAAAGTTGTACGCTCCCGCTTGCTGCGTAGATAGAAGACTGTGGTTGACTAAGCAGGCATGACAATTACACCAATTTCCAGAACAGTTGGATGCTCGCGCGTCCGGATTATGCATAGCCACCCTTGTATAAAAAGTGGGGACCGACGAATTGTTAGTGGATGAGCGGTGATTAAGCCGCGCCGTTGAAGGTTATGTTTCGCTAAGGACGAAACACTCGTTGCAGGCTAGGAACTTAGAAGTTATGGATTAGTGATAGCCAAGGTAAATTTGTTCGTCCTCGGTGGAGTTGGCCGGGCGAGGCTGCAATTTATGTTAGCTTAGTATACACGGGATGCGAATGAGCAAGTTGAAGGCACATTTGGGTGATTGTAAATCTTTTGCACGTAGAAACTATACTACTATGGGACAGGTCTGTTGTTGGTGATATATCGTTGGATGAGTGTGTACGTTTAGGAGGCACACATGTTGGCCTTAGCTGTGGCAGAGGTTCGGTTCCAGTACATCGGGGAACATGGAGCATGAAATTGCGCTACTAGTTTTGATCGGCTTCAGAAATCGATTGCAACCGACTACAGTGACCTAAAATGAAATTTAATCACTTGTTACCACTGAAAGCCTTTGAGTGCATCACCACGGAAACCGACCACAAACTTGGTAAAGAAACCTTCCTGAAAGGCAAGGAGGTGTGATCAAGGGAGGAAGGAAGACATCTGTATTTGAGTTTTGGCCCGTCAGAAAAGGGCGAAGTGGAACGAGGTCACGTCGACTAAAGTGCGCGCGTCTGAAGGAAAAAAGAAATATCGGAAGAAATTCTTTTGAAAGCATTCAGCGTCAACTTGCAGTGAATATAAATGGCGGATTCGAATATGTGGTGCCTGCTTCCCCATTCATAAATGCCACCGATGATAGCTCGTCTCTATTAGTGTTCTCGATTGTTAACAACAAAAGCCAATTGATAAATCAGAAGGCTAGAGAGCTACGCTAATAAAATTTGCTTTAAGAGCGTGAGGTTACAACACCTTAATGGAGTCAAATACAGTACCAAAAATGGGAATGTAAAATTAAGGACTTATCGTTCAGAGTGGGAGTTGCAATAGTTCCACCGAGCTGGTTTGGGCGCAGGTAATCGTGTTTCTCTCGGCAGATTCACTGCTGCACGTTCCTAGTTGTCCGCGGTTGCCCTTGGGTCGAGCCGGTCTGTGTTCCGACGCGCGAGTGATGCGTGAGGGTGTATTTGTTTGATTGTGTTCTGTCCTTATATAGGAGAGTTTGACGTGTGTATAAAACACGAATCGTTCCGATGCGTAGTAGACAGGAACTGACTTGTATAGCAGGTTGGTCGCGGGATCAAGTAAACACGCATGTACTAGACAAATCAGGTGAAGCCGGTTGAGGGGACATGGAAATGCCCGCTACATCTGCAGGATGTAGTTTGGATACCAGCCATAAGGCATATGCGGAGTTGTGATAGTATCGCGCGTACTACTTAAAGATCCTTGATAGTTGTAACCTAGTTCCGCACCTGGAGACATGAAGCTGGACTTCTGGAACTTAAAAGTTAATGGTGTGTTACCCGTAGTGTGTTACCCGACTGAGGTATAGATTTTGTGGAGATTATGATGATAAAATCGACTATGTATGCCCTATTATGCATTTTTGTGAGGGTTTGGCTTACTTTGGCGCAAAGGGATGAATGTTTGCATTAAGTGGGCCGGGGTTTTGTCTCTCTCTAAATCAGGTATTGCAGCAACATCATGCGTGAGCCGCACGCTATGGATAAGCTTCAAGTTCCATTTTATTCCTTATCGGGCCAGAAGTCCAAGAACGAATTTCCTTGCAGAGATTTTCTAATCGTAACCAGTATGGCATGGAGATGTCGGCTATCCTTCTATAGGCTCGCGATCGTTTTTAGTGACGATTTGAGGTCTGACTGAGGTCCTAACGATTGAATAGAGGTGTGGAACAGACGAAAGAACTGGGTATTGTTGTACATGCGAAGGCTTATTGTTGATTCATCCAGGGAGGAATGACAAAATCCATTCAATGAACCCGAAGATCGTATGATTACAAATCTCTTCATGGACAAACAGAAAGTGGCATGACCGCTGAGTGTGGTTTATGCTCTCCCTGGAGGCTGCATGTGCCAGTATTGGATGCCGACTGTTGTTGATTCTATGCTTTCTTTCTGGTTAGTTACAAAATAATTCACAGATTCGTTGTTTCCTTTTCGTGCTTAAACCACTTTTCATGCCTTGACTTTAACGTGAACAATTCGCTGACCATTTCAGCACATCTTGTTTAAATGAACACTTGGGTTTCGTTATCTTACGGCCATCTTGCCTTGGGCTGATGTGAACTTTTGGATCCCGCGTGGCCTTGGCAGTTGTTAAACTGGTGTATAAAAGCTCATTTAGGGTTTACCTTTTCGTTATTTTTTTGTATTCATTGAACCGCATTTGTTGCTGAACGTCACGTAACTCGACATGGCACAAACGATTGCTGAATAAATCCACGGCACTCAAAGCTACGGCATTCAAGCCTCAAGTATCCCGTGGATCCCGAAAGTTTGCCCGAATTAAAATTTCGGATCTTTTGGAACCACTGTGGCCATAACTCGAGGCTGCAAGTTACTCGAAGCTTTCTCAGACATGAAAGGTGATAACCTAATGAACAATGCCAGGTATGATATCGTTGACCGCAACATTTGCTTCTCTCACCCTCCTTATCATCTTACCATATTTCCTGAGCTAACTGCAATTACTCTTTCACGGTACGGCGAACGACTGGGAAAGATTCTATGAAATGAGATGCTAGAGAAGAAAATGCAATAAAAAACGAAGGTGAAAAAGCTAAGAAAGCGAAAAGTAGCGCCTCGAAAATAGATACTGTTGGGTTATCAGTCCCCTGACGAAGAAAGTCCGACATGATAAGGAGTCTTCTAAGCCCAGGGAGCACACCTTTATTGGGCGAAATTATTATTCCTCTCGGTGGTAGGTGGGTGGAATAACCTCCGTTCAACTGTTGCCCACGCTCCTTCTAGAACCCGGTTCAATGAATTCTCAGAGACCTATTTATGCGAGTCCTCGCTCTGGAAAGCATACTGCTCCGCACTGAGAACTTGAAGTGCAGCGCTGCACTCTTTTTTACTCGTATATTTATGGAGAACAAAACTAACTCGGGAAACCTGGACAAAAGCCTCGGTCCCGTGTACCAATTCCTGACTTCGTGAGTTAAATCTTAACGTGGCTCTTAATCGAATCTACAGAACGCCAAAATTCATCGCAAAACTCAACCTAGAGGAGACAGAATGTTAATAATAATAATGTTTATTCCCAACTTTTGGGTGGCATACCGTCTGGCATGATCATGCGTTTACAGTCAGGCTGGGGCATGACTGGGGCAGTTGCGGGTTGTGGGGATTGCGCGAAAAGAGGACAATGCCACAAACAGTGGGAAGTGTTGGATGAAATAATAATAGGTTTCTTTCGCAACTTGTAGGGAACAATGGGCATGATGTCCGACTGATTCAATGACTCAGTCGGCTGACATGAACTGAAACTGGAAAACCATTGCTAGCCATGAGTGACCTTGGGCTATGCATCACCTACAGATTAGAGCTGATGGCAGCGCTTCGGGGACTGGTGACTGTTTCTCAAGCACACACCCTTGTAATATAATACCGTATATCAGCAAAACCAGCCCCTGGTCACTAGCCTACTAATTACAAATCTATCTATTTCCTGCTCCATGTAATCACTTGTCACCACCCTAGTTGCATCAGACGCCAAGTTTTTCTTTCTATGCATGTAAATGCATATTATGCCATTTCATATCCGCTCAAACTCACTATGTTTTGCAACTCTCCTCTCATCCCCTCACCTTCCAAAGCTTTAAACTTCGGAAGTGCCCCCTTTGGACGACCTGGTTAGCTGATCCCCACTCCACCTGACCTATGATCTACAAATCCGGGATCACCAAACCGACCAAAAAACCTACAATCCCATATCGGTTTCGTTCCAGCTTGTTTCCTCGACCAGGCTGAAATGAATACGGTTGCTCAATGAACTGCATACCCAAGTCGAATCTCTCAAATGTGATGTCCGTCACGGTGCTGTCCAAAAACTGAAGCATGTCAGGCCAATGATGGCACGGCACTGCCATACTCAGTTTGATAGCACACACGCAACTGTTCCATTCCTCCTCTCAACCGTGCCCTCTTGCCTACCCGTTTCATTGACCCCAACGACCACCATGACATTCATTCCAACCTATTGGTCCACTCGTTCAAATTCAACCACCCCTGTGTACCCATCCAACCTAACCCATTCACCTGACCTCCCAGC